GTCTTTGAGATTCAAATAATCAGCGTTAAAGGTAAACTGGCATTTGTGGCGGTACCTGCACCACAGGGTGTCCTCCTGTGTGGGCCTTGACGGCGCCTCTACTTCCCTCCGTCTCGTAGTGAGCTCTGTGGTGCGGCTTTGGCTGCACCTCGATATGGAGCTCATAGTGGTCCGTGCGGCTGGGCACGGGCCATTCCAGAGGGGGGAGAGACGCCAACGGGATACTATGGGTCGCAAAGGACACAGATAAGATAATTGGAATTGCACACGCCGCGTGACGCATTCTTTCCAAATTAACCTGCAAATGCTGGAGACCAGCGGCTTAGACCAGATCGGAGGGATGACAAAGAAGGGTTCTGGAGAAGGTTTGCTTTTCATATCCTGGTCACAGGACACCAAGTAGTTCCCCTCGCCGTGATGCTCCGGATACAGAGTGTAAACCTGGTTGGAAGTCTTGACTAGTTTAGTGGGCAAACTGAAACCATTCATGGCTTCCGGCATGGCGTTGTGTGGATAGTGGGCCCCCATGTTCTGATCCACATGGCCGCCTAGGGGGGAAGGGCTTCGGGAGCGGATGCCGGGCATCAGAGCGGGATTCCTGTACATGTCGTAGGTGCGTTTACCCTGCGGGGAGGTGGAGCGGGAGCCAGGGCGCGGGGAGGGTGAACACGTTCCCAGGTAGCCTTCCTCAGTTAGGCCGGCGTTCGGTGATGTTCCCGGGGAGGTGCGTGGGGAGCCAGTGTGGATGTTCTGTAATCGGGGGCACAGGTCTCCAGGATTGTTGCCGCTACTGGGGGACACGCAGGGGGAAGCCCAGGGGGAATAATTCTCCGAGTGCCAGCTGGTGGACGAGTTGCTGCTGGCGGGGCTCAGGCACTGGGGCTCGCGGTAGGAGAGGTTCTCATGGCCTGGTACGGTCAATGTGGGTCGGGGGCTGTTGACACTGGGGTGGTGGTTCTGCAGGGAGTCGCGAGAGTGGCTGTAGTGCTCCCGGGATGGTGTGATTTCAATGCGCGGGCTCAAGGCCAAGCCTGGGGGCCGGGTACTGTCCAGGTAGTTCTGTGCTTCCTGAGCGTCATATCCTGGCAGAACTTCTGTCTGGTGTTCAATGTAGGAGCGACTACAGGACTTGACAGCATACGGGGAGACCTCCTCCAGGGGAAAGGCTTGCTCAGACTCGGGACTGAGGACTTTGTGAGACGCAAGATTTGGGTCATCTGCACAGAAAGGGGAAAATATATATCACAATTTGGATTTCCAGTTTTACAATCGCAAGCAGTCATGACGCATTCAAAAGTATCTACATTCTCTGCATAACTGGCAACCAATCTATTGTCTGGCTAGAGTGTACGTGCCCTACAATTGTATGTGCCAGGTGGCAGACTGGCAACTGATCTCTTGGTGCTCTGTAATTGAAAAGTGCCAAATCCATTGTTTGTCAAGACCAGGGGTGGGCAACTCTGGTCCTCAAGCTGGAAAATGATCCTGATCATTTGAATCGGATGTGATGGAACAGGAAGACAAATAAAACATCCATGATACCCTCGCTCAAGGACCGGAATTGTCCACCCCTGGTCTAGATGCATACCGTGATTGATGACCAGTCCATTCTCTGCCTGATCATTGACCAACCTATTGCCTGCGTATACTGAATGTACCCTGTGATTGACTGACGATCAATCCACTGTCTGTCTGGCGACCACTCTATTGTTTGTACGCATCCCTCTATGTTCATCATGAATGCTTGAAGAATATTTCTTGCCTTATCTCTCAGGGAGAGCGTGGACACCCTGCAAAGGCAAATCATTTCTGCCGCTTGTTCTTTTGGTCACTACCCACAGCACGTGACCATCAGTGATGATACATGATACACAGATTGAAAAATAAATCAAGAGCTTCGCCTTCCAGCTGAACTCCCTCTTAAACACGACAGGCCGATACAGAGTGCGCATCACTGCAGATGCTGCACCGATCTGCCTGTCGATCTCCCGGAACATCCTCCCCGCACTCGTGAACAAGACTCTAAGACACCAAGACACTTGAACTACTCCACATGGGGCAGGATCTCATCCCAGACATGGAGAGGGCACGACACCCTTTTCCAACTGAGGACCATGGGCTCAGATTGAGACATGCCGATTTTCATTCCAATCGCTTCGCACTCAGATGCGAACCACTCCAGTGAGAGTTGGAGATCACTGCTTGATAACGCCAACAGTACCAAATCATCCGGAAAAAGCAAAGATGCAATACTAAGGCCACCAAACCAGACCTCCTCGACGTCTCAGTTGCACCTCGAAATTCTGTCCATAAAGGTTATGATAGAATCTGTGGAAAAGGGCAGCCTTGTCAGAGTCAAACACACACTGGAAACAAATCTGACTTTCTTTTTAAGGGCAATGTTTTCAAATTTATGGTGGTACAGTACTTCAAGAGCAAAGTATTTTTATTTTTTTATTAAGCAGGATTTGTAAAAAGTGTGCGTCCCACTGTTCTATGGTTTCATTTATTCGTCAAGGAAATGCATGCTTGACATGTTTTGGGATCTGAGTGCTCTTTAAGTTCTAACAACCACTTCTAAACTCTCAAGAAAAAACAACTACTGTACTGGTACTGTATTAGGTATGGATCACGCCCCCAACCCCCACCATTAACGTCAGGGGAAGGGAGTGATGGGGAGGGGGGGGGCGTTGTAGTGGCGCCAAAATCTGTTCACCAACCTTGACGTCCTCCCTCAGCCTCGCTGCCGTAAGATGCTTCATATTCAAACAAGTACTCAAAGTCCAGATCCTCGTCGGGGCAGTTGACCCGGCTCAGCTCCTCCTCCAAGCGGTTCTGGTCGTACAAGGAGCTCATCTGTCTAACGTCTACTCCGCGTTCGGGACGAAAAGGGCGGGGGAAGGCGCGAACAAGTCCAGCGCACTCAGGACTCCCCAAATTAAATAATAATAATAATAAAAAAAAAAATCAAACAAAATGACACTCTCGCTAAGGAGCAGGAGTGCGCATGTTTCCTGTCTCGCCGGTTTGCGTGTGACGGCGGAACTATTGTCACATCAACTGCAGAACCCACGCCCTCCCCCGCCCCTCGAGTAGTTTGGAACCTCCGCCAAGGTTTGTTTAACGTACGCCATACAGTGGTGTGGACGTAACATATTTTAGCATGAGCTATAGGGTAGTTTTTTTAAATAGCCACAACAAGAACAACATTTGCTTTAGGTTCTTTTTAATCATGTGCGAATAGAACATAATACGCCACACAATTATTGATTGATGGTTAGTTTTCATTGTCTCAAGAAAGAAAAAGCATGGCAGCTAAATAAAGCAAATTAAAGTAGTCTAGTTAGGATTTTAATTAGTTAGATATAATACGAATATGTATATTTAAATAATACACAGTAGCCGTGTTCAGTTAATATTGTACATCCATTACATTTAACAATAATTACAGTCACCATTGAACAATGAGAGTGACGGCCTTTTTATGTCATTTGTTGTATGTAATAATAAAAAGAGTAATTATCAATAATAAGCGATTAAAAAAATAAATTAAGGATTCTGGCCGAAATCTTGTTTGAAGTACAGCATATAAAATCTATGGTTAATAAATTGCATTGCATGCACAAATAAATCAAGTAATGCTTATTTAAGCATACCAGGATTGGTCGGGGTGTTGAATTTAAAAAAAGTCATTTATAATCATTGAACAACATGACAACATTGGCTGCTTTTTGATATTGGAAACAGGCTTTGCATTGTGCTGCTGCACCCTGGTGTCTGACATGCTGCATTGACCAAACTTTGCAACAATGTACAGCAACTGTAATTGCTTCAATTTAAAATAACACAGCATTTGGGATAAACGCCCCATCCTAGTCAAACAGACCCACTGGTGCCTTTCCCAATGGACCGGAGGAGATTTCCTTCAAACTACATTCAACATGCTGTTTATCCAATGGGGAAATAGACTCAAAAATAATCTTGTGTGTTTTGGTTGACAGTCACAAAAAAGTGATACAAGAGAAAGCTTTGATAAAATAGTCACACATACCGTGAACATTCACAAAGAACACATGAAATTTGAATTCTGACCACGACAACATGACAACGTCCCTCAAGCATTGACTCTAGCCCAAAACGTGGTAACGCGTAGAAAAGACTAGGCGAATGATGTCACTCATCAACTTGCATTAATTCAGGAACATGTAATAAATAATGAAAATTTTTTGATTACCATAGAATCACAACACTTGAGCAGTACCTTGATCCATGGACCTCATGGTGTGGTACTGGGTCACTCTCCAAGTCCCTCTAAACATTAGGAGACAAAAGAAAAAAAAACCCAAGAAATAAAAAAATGTTGGAGGGGGGAAAAAAGTCAAATCAAAGTCACTCAGGTCTAACAAGCATGGCAAAGTTTCAGTTTCTCAGTTAAAAAAATGCTGAGGGGGATGGCAAAAAGGCAAACAAAAGTCCAAGTTGTAAAAAGTCTCATCCGAGTTGAGTGAAAAGGAGCAGCGGTGGAGGTTCGGCTGGCCAGTGGTTCTTTGGAGTAACGAGAGCGGCTTCCCTGCCCTGCTCTGAGTGTTTATAATGGTGCAATGCTGTAAAATAACGGGATTCCCTCAGTGTTTCCTCCTGTTTGGGCGCCCTCGCCATGGAAACCTGGAGCCGCTCCATGTTGGGAGACTCAGGGCTTTTCCTGCAAAGACCCACACTCAGGAATCCATGACGTCTCCCATTCCTGAGCCAAAGCATTTCTGTGGCTTTCTCTCAGACAGTAGCGCACAAGAACCTCATTGTGGGACCCCAGAACTCTCTGCGGGAGTACGACCAGTGAGCGACAAAAGAGGGATGTTCCGGTTCTGCTTTTTGATTACATGATACTCGTTATGGAACGGTCTAGTTTTGGGATGTTATGCGGCCGACAGTTATTTTATCCACTTCCTTTAAAAAGAAACCTACGCGACAGTTGATCATAAATTTGCATAAAAGGCATATGGACTCCTTGAACTCACCAGCCCAGTCCAAATGTACTGTGTTATGATTGCATTTCAATTTATGTTAATCACAGTTAGTCTTCAGTAGTCCTATTCAAGCATTGGTAGTCAGGTCTAGTCAGTACTCACTAGTCTCACAGAGATGTATTCAGGAAGAGTTAAGTTTCTACTTTGCGCATTTAATAAGTGATAATCAGACCCATTTAGTCCAAAATCAACCCTATTCAGAGAGTTAGTTCTTAGCTTGCTCATTAGTTTGTCCAAATGTGACAGCCAGGCCTGTTTAGTCTGAAATAAACCCAATTCAGGAAGAGAGTTGCTGTACTTTCTAGTTTGAAAATCGACTTTCTTCTGTGCTAGAACTAAATAGGTCTGGCTGTCAGCTCTCTGATAGGAGAGTTCGAGCCTATCTAGTCCTAGTCAGGTCTATTCTTCTACTATGTGCTAGTTTGTCAGATTTGCTTTGGCAGAGTTAGCTCCAAGTTTGCCAGAGTAAGAGCCCATCTAATCCAGGTCATACTAAACACATTGTCCAAACATATTTGGACATCTATTTTAAAGACTTAGATAAAGCAAGGTATTCTGGGAAATGAAGTGCTGTTTTTGCATTATACCAAACACTTTCAACATTTTTATCTGAATAGGCTTTTAATGTCAATTAAAACTAATTAATTCACTTTATAATTTTCTATAATTAAATCTTGTGCACATAAATTCCTTACAATAATATTCGTATGAAACACGCTTGCCCTTCAAAAATTAACTGACTTCTTCCGAATGAACTTGCCCACCACATTTAATAGTCCAAGGTTATACAACTCACACTATGAATGACTAAATGAATATGGCACATGCTTAAGAGAGGAAAACTGCTGATGTCCAGACGACCAAGTTTGCATTTCCGCTTTTTTTTTTTTTTTTTTTTTAACTTTCTTAAACTCTGTCTCAAAAAACCCAATTTTTCCAAACTCTAGTGGCACTTTCCATCACTGTACACCTCATTCAAACTGAGGTCGACTTGTCTGGGTTACGACATTGCCCTCTTTGCTAGTGCAACATGTGGAACTCAGATCTTAAAACCAATCAGTGAGAATAGAATATGGAAAGCATGTCTTATGGAATTATTCTGGAGGAAACATAAGTGGAAAAAGCAAGCTTTGCCTCCATTTGGTCCACATCTTATATGCCATGCACGACACATGGGCCTTATGTATGTATTAGTCCCAGTTAAAAGCCTGACCTCCTGATAGTACACACCGGTGACCACCACAGCTATTTGTAATTCCTGACACAGAAAAATTAGCTTTTTTTTCTTTAATATTTAAAAATATGTCATTTTGCCAGGAGAACTTTGGCAAAGGAACCCCGAGACAGTCAATCTACAGGTTTCACTTATGTCTTTAGTAGAGTACGTGGGCTTATTGTACATTTGAAAAAGATGAGAGACGATTTAGTTCATATTTCATTATCGCAAAGTTATCAACAACAGCGGACCACACCGCTGTCATTGTATCGATTTTCTATTTTCTCTTAGTCCACCCATAGACACGTTTCAGGTTTTCATCTCAGTTACACCTCAAAGAAGCATAAAGGTATCTTTGAAGAATCAATATAATAAGACTAATCTGTCAGACATTCGAATGCTTTTGTTTATGTGATAAATAAGTGGGTTCAAATAAAAGGTGTTGCCTATCAGATCCAAATGTCAGTACCTGGAAATAGAAGATGCAATGTTGGTGTCTTTTTGTATAGTCAGTCTTTCGTGACCCCTTCAAATGTTTTCAGTCCAAAGCAAAAACAAAAGAAATGGGCTCACTGTTACAATACTTTTGGAGAGGAGTGTAAACATTGACGGAGGATGTTCAAAATACGGTTAGACACTTGCAAGGATAAGCAGTTGGTGTGCTTTTTTCCAATTTTTCCAAAATCAAAAATTTCCCCAGTGTGGGACAGTAAAGGATATCTTAATTACAAAGTGACATCGCCAACTAGAGGCCTGGCATGTATATTACTGTTTTCAGTCATTTTGTAGACACCGTATGCGTCAACAGGGATTGTTTTGACCATGTTGTCCTCTCAAAATGAGAGGAAACGTTTCATTTTTGTTGGTCATCATTTTAACATAGCCTACGTTAAGATGGTCACATTGAGCTTCAAGCAATGCTGGTGATAGTCTTTGTTCATTGGTCGTGACATGACGAAAAAAAAAAGCAATCCCAAGCTTGCAGCGCTGGCATGTCCTGGTACGAGAAGGAATCTTATTTCCTTCCTGCCACAACTTGAGATCCTCTGAGAACATTTTCCCCCCTTTTTTTTCCAATGTGTGTGAGGTCAGATGTTCCATCAACATGGAAACTCCATACATCCTGATGGAACCCGCCTGCTTATGTAACTGGATTCTGATCGATCCTCACATGTCAGCGAAAAGAATGCAAGTGTCCGCGCTTCCAGTGGAAAAGTGGCAGGCTCGCTTGTGGATTTTCCTCCTTTGGAGCACAATACCCAATCCGCTACCCCCCACTTCCCCCCTTTAAGACGGTAGCTCCAGGTTTCCACCTCCATCCGCGACTATTTCATAACTTTGACACGTTATCTTGGTAAGGAAGCAAAAAAGGTATTTGGTTGTCAAAACAACGTAGAACAACCTCATTAATGCTTACACTCACAATGAATCACACACAGAGAAACGCAGAGGTCTTTGGTTCACTTGTACTTTTTTTTTTGGGGGTGGGGTATGAAAAGAAACTGTACGGCGTGTTCGACGTTTGCAAGTATGTATCGTTTACACTTGCGTCAAATGCATCATCATAAACAATGAACACCTTAGATGTCGCTCTAAATCATCCACGAATTGCTTCCAATAACAACAACAATGCTACGTTTGTTTGCTTGTACGGTAAACACCTGAGAGCCCTGTCGCGTGGAGCAAAAAACCCCACACACAAAAACTGAGCTATAATCATTAATCAACGGTTTAAAACTGCAGATATATCACAAATAATGATCTCAAAAGATACCCCTAATCCAATCCTAACCCAAGAACAAAGGGTTTGAAGCAGACAACAAAATAGCCACATTAATGTACTGATTTTTTTTTCCAGTGCAAAAAAGAGTTCTTTTGCATTAAAAAAAATAAAAATACCACCCAAGGACAGCACAAGATTGCTGAACAAAAACCTGTTACGTAAAAGAATTCTTTTTTTTTTTCACAAATACGACTGACTAAAAATGTTGAGATTATTGAGGTAGGCCTCCGTTGTTTGTCCGGTATGTCATTCAAAATCCGCACAAAAATGATTAGGCCTACTCATGTTATAGTGTAGGGCAGTAAAAAATAAAATAAACAAAAAAACGGTGTATGCGCAACTGAGACATGTCTGCCATCTAGTGATGAATGGTCAAATTGCAACTCAAAATGACAGTCAACATATTTGTTGTTCGGCACCTGCGAATTAGCAAATTCACAGAGCCCTCCCCCCAATTTAAAATTTTTTTATTTTATTTTTTTTACTGGGATGTTTTTCCCATTTAAGACACGATTTTCGTGGTAAATGTATAAGGAAGGTTTATCAACATTTCGGAGGGAATGGTTTGGGTTTGTAAAATAAATAATATACTGCCGTGGTATTTCCTACGGTGGCTTAAAATGAAATACAATTAAATATCTAGAAGAGAAGCCAAATATTCCCTTCTGCTTTAGTCAACATGATTCTGATTTTATGGCAGTCGTAACTTTCTTGCCAAAAGAGACACTAGTGGCCACCATAGCAGGGATTACATGTGATTTGAATGCAAACAGTTTGGGCATTCGGTGCAACTACAATATAGTTCCATACTATCATCCGGACAAACTCAAGTCATGACCACGGGACATTTTGCGGTCTGTCAGCTTGTTCTCTTCCATTGGGAATGCAAAGCTGTTTCCGAGTGGAAAACTCACTCTTGTCTTGACTCGAGGCCCCCGGAGATGAAACGAATCAACCTGCTTCATTTGCCTGGACGTTATGTAACAAGCACCTCGTGCAAGTCCACACTTTGTCCACATCTTGGACAAAGTGCACCCCCCCCCCCCCCCCCCCCCGTGTTTTTCGAAAATTTCCACTCCCCGGGGAAGACTGTCTGCACGATTTTGGAATGCGTCTTGTGGGAATTTCTGATCATTTGTGAGTTAGGAATCTCTCTTCGAGTTCACCCTAGATGAGTTTGATGAGCTTGTTCTTCTACACTGGACACATCCAAGCACGCCTTTTTGGACCTTCATTTAGGCACTGGAAAAAGAACAGGGCCTTCCCCAAATTGTTACTGCTAGCTGAAAGCAATCAGTTGTCCATATTTTGCTCAGGCAAAAAAAAAAAAAAAATGCTAAAATTAAAAGCTCTGATTGATTTACTGAACTGGTTGAGAGGTCCGTCTCAAAAGCAGGGGGCACCAACCTTTTTGAAAGTGAGAGATACTTCTTGGGCACTGAATAAAGCAAAGGGCTGCCAGTTTGATACACTTCTGAAATAACGGATTTGTTCAAATTACCTTTAATAACATCTGATTAGGCAGCACGGTGGTCGACTGGTTCGCACGTCCTCCTCACAGTGCAGAGGTCCAGGGTTAGATTCCGAGCTACGGCCTTCCTGTGTGGAGTTTCCATGTTCTCCCCGTGACAGCGTGGATTTTCTCCAGGTACTCCGGTTTCCTTCTACATTCAAGAAACATGCACGGTAGGTTAATGAAACATTCTAAATTGTCTGTGGGTGTGGTTGTTTGTCTGTCTGTGCCCTGTGATTGGCTGGTACCCCGCCTACAGCCCATAGATAATGGATGAATATTCATTCACTGATTTTGATTTTTCACAATAACCACCACCATAATAATCACC